TTCCAGTTTATAATATGATATAAAAATTATTAGGTAATATCAATGAAATTTCAAGGAATAAATTATTAAAGAAGAAATTGTGAAATTTACAAATTATAAAGAATATGAAATTTGCAAAAAATCATATCATCTTTATTTCTCAGAATCATGATATGATATGTATGTTAAATTGAAGCTTAAAGATTGTAGTTTATGATATTATATAAAAACTATTAGGTAATATTAATGAAATTTCTAGGAATAAATTGATAAAGAAGAAATTGTCAAATTTATAAATTATAAAGAATACGAAATTTTCAAAAAATAATATATTCTGCTATATTTTTGAGAATCACGATATGATATGTATGTTAACTTGAAGCTTTAAATTGAATTGAAACTATTAGGTAATATTAATGACACTTCCAGGAATATGTTGATAAAGAAGAAATTGTTAATTTATAAATCAAAAAGAGTACGATATTTTCAAAAAACCATATTATCTGCATTTTTGAGAATCATGATATGATATGCATGTTAAATTGAAGTTTAAAGATTGCAGTTTATGATATGATATAAAAAATATGAGATGATATTAATGAAATTTCCAGGAATAAGTTGATAAAGAAATTGTTCAATTTATAAATTATAAAGGATACGAAATTTTTAAAAAAATTATATCTGCCATATTTTTGAGAATCACTATATGATATGTATGTTAAATTGAAGCTTAAAGATTGTAGTTTATGATATGATATAAAAACTATTAGGTAATATTAATGAAATTCCCAGGAATAAATTGATAAAGAAAAAATTGTCAAATTTGTAAATCAAACAAAATGCGAAATTTTCAAAAAATCATATCTACTATATTTTTGAGAATCACGATATGATATGTATGTTAAATTGAAGCTTAAAGGGTGTAGTGTATGATATGATATAAGAACTATGAGATAATATTAATGAAATTTCCAGAAATAAATTGTTAAAGAAGAAATTGTCAATTATAAATCAAAAATACTACGAAATTTTCAAAAAATCACATCTGCTGTATTTTTGAGATTCACGATATGATATATATGTTAAATAGAAGCTTAAAGATTGTAGTTTATGATATGATATAAAAACTATCAGGTAATATTAATGAAATTTCCAGAAATAGATTGTTAAAGAAGAAATTGTCAATTATAAATCAAATGTAATACAAAATTTTCAAAAAATCATATCATCTGTATTTTTGAGAATCACGATATGATATGTATGTTCAATTGAAGCTTAAAGATTGTAGTTTATGATATGTTACAAAATCTATGAGATAATATTAATGAAATTTCCAAGAAGAAATTGTTAAAAACGAAACAGTCAAATTTGTAAATCAAACAGAATACGAAATGTAGTCGAAGTTGATGTTCTAGTTCATTTTTAACCAGTTTTTTAACATAGAGGTAACAAAGGTTTTTTTGTGAGGTTTACACTTTTTCTGATTAGTAAAAAATATTGTATTAAATATAATACGTCTCTTTATTTACATGTTTCGCCTGTCCTAGCAGGCATCTTCAGAATAATTACAAGAATGATCATTAAAAAGAATCCAAAGAAAAAAAAACAAAAGCCTTTCAAAAGCCAAAACCCAAAGTTTGCGACTCCTATGTATGGCTAACCATAGGAGCCTTCTGTATTTTGGGATATGGGCCAGATATGGATTTATATATTGGCACCTGTGAGTAATATATTTTTTTGTAGTTATTCTGAAGATGCCTACTAGGACAGGCGAAACATGTAAATAAAGAGACGTATTATATTTAATACAAGATTTTTTTACTAACCAGTAAAAGTACAAACCTCATAAAAAAACCTTTGTTACCTCTAGAATACGAAATGTTCAAAAAATATCATCTGTATTTCTGAGAATCACGATATGATATGTATGCTAAATTGAAGCTTTAAGATTGCAATTTATGATATGATATTAAAACTGTTAGGTAATGTTAATGAAATTTCGAGAAATAACTTGTTAAAGAAGAAATTGTCAATTATAAATCAATAATAATACGAAATTTTCAAAAAATCATATCTTCTATGTTTTTGATAATCACGATATGATATGTATGTTAAATTGAAGCTTAAAGATTGTAGTATATGATATGATATAAAAACTATGAGATAATATCAATGAAATTTGCAGGAATAAATTGTTAAAGACGAAATTATTATATTCATAAATGATAAAGAATACGAAATTTTCAAAAAATCATATCTATATTTTTAAGAATCATGATATGATATGTATGTTAAACTGAAGCTTAAAGATTGTAATTTATATGATATAAAAACTATGAGATAATATTAATGATATTTCCAGGAAAAAATTATTAAAGAAGAAATTGTCAATTATAAATCAAAAATAATTTGAAATTTTCAAAAAATCATATCATCTGTATTTCTGAGAATCACGATATGATATGTATGCTAAATTGAAGCTTTAAGATTGCAATTTATGATATGCTATAAAAACTATTAGATAATATTAATGAAATTTCCAGGAATAAATTGTTGAAGAAGAAATTGTTAATTATAAATCAAAAATGATACGAAATTTTCAAAAAATCATATCTACTATATTTTTGTGAATCATGATATGATATGTATGCTAAATTGAAGCTTAAAGATTGCAGTTCGTAATATGATACACAAACTATGAGATAATATTAATGAAGTTTCCAGAAATTAATTTGTTAAAAAAGAAATAATACGAAATTTTCAAAAAACCATATCTGCTATATTTTTAATAATCACGATATGATGTGTATGTTAAATTGAAGTTTAAAGGTTGTAGTGTATGATATGATATAAAAACAATGAGATAATATTAATGAAATTTCCAGGAATAAATTCTTAAAGAACAAAATTGTCAATTATAAATCAAAAATAATAAGAAATTTTCAAAAAATCATATCTGCTATATTTTTGAGAATCACGATATGCTATGTATGTTAAATTGAAGCTTAAAGATTGTAGTTTATGATATTATATAAAAACTATTAGGTAACATAAATGAAATTTCCAGGAATAAGTTGACAAAAAAGAAATTGTTAAATTTATAAATTATAAAGAATACAAAATTTTGAAAAAATCACATCATCTATATTTTTAAGTATTATGATATGATATGTATGTTAAATTGAAGCTTAAAGATTGTAGTTTACGATATGATATAAAAACTATATGATAATATTAATGTAATTTCTAGGAATATATTGTTAAAGAAGAAATTGTCAATTATAAATCAAAAATATTAAGAAATTTTCAAAAAATCATAGCTGCTATATTTTTGAGATTCACGATATGATATGTATGTTAAATTGAAGCTAAAAGATTGTAGTTTATGATATGATATAAAATCTATGAAGTAATATTAATGAAATTTCCAAGAATAAGTTGTTGAAGAGGAAATTGTTATATTTATAAATCAAAAAGAGTACGATATTTTCAAAAAACCATATCATCTGCATTTTTAAGAATCACGATGTGATATATATGTTAAATTAAAGCTTAAAGATCGTAGTTTATGATATGATATAAAAACTATGTAATAATATTAATAAAATTTCCAGGAATAAATCGTTAAAGACGAAATTGTCAATTATAAATCAAAAATAATACGAAATTTTCAAAAAATCATATCTGCTATATTTTTGAGATTCACGATATGATATGTATGTTAAATTGAAGCTTATACATTGTGCTTTATGATATGATATAAAAAATATGAGATGATATTAATGGAATTTCCAGAAATAGATTGTTAAAGAACAAATTGTCAATTATAAATTAAAAGTAATACGAAAATTTCAAAAAATCATGTGATTTGTATTTCTGAGAATCACAATATGATATGTATGTTAAATTGAAGCTTAAAGATTGTAGTTTATGATATGATATAAAAACTATGAGATGATATTAATGAAATTTCCAGGAATAAATTGTTAAAGAAGGAATTATCATTTATAAATCAAAAGTACTACGAAATTTTCAAAAAATCATATCTGCCATATTTTTAAGAATTATGTTATGATATGTATGTTAAATTGAAGCTAAAAGATTGTAGTTTATGATATAATATAAAATCTATGAGGTAATATTAATGAAATTTCCAGGAATAAATTGTTGAAAAGGAAATTGTTATATTTATAAATCAAAAAGAGTACGATATGTTCAAAAAACCATATCATCTGCATTTTTCAGAACCACGATTTGATATATATGTTAAATTAAAGCTTAGAGACCGTAGTTTATGATATGATATAAAAATTATGTGATAATATTAATGATATTTCCAGGAATAAATTGTTAAAGACGAAATTATCAATTATAAATCAAAAATAATACGAAATTTTCAAAAAATCATATCTGCTATATTTTTGAGATTCACGATATGATATGTATGTTAAATTGAAGCTAAAAGATTGTAGTTTATGATATGATATAAAATCTATGAGGTAATATTAATGAAATTTCCAAGAATAAGTTGTTGAAGAGGAAATTGTTATATTTATAAATAAAAAAGAGTACGATATTTTCAAAAAACCATATCATCTGCATTTTTAAGAATCACGATGTGATATATATGTTAAATTAAAGCTTAAAGATCGTAGTTTATGATATGATATAAAAACTATGTGATAATATTAATGAAATTTCCACGAATAAATTGTTAAAGACGAAATTGTCAAAAACCGATAAATAACGAAATTTACCAAATTTTCATATTCTCGTGTTTTTCTCGATATCTGCGCATCCGCGAGCAAAAGTGCAAGAGAATAATATTGTTAACAATAAAATTTGCTCCAACTTTTGTTCTAAAACTTTTTTTGTAACATGCTGCGATTACGAGATTTATTGTTACTTAACCCTTCAATCCTGTGCATCTCCTTTTTTGAATATTAATTAACTTTTGACGCGCATTGTATAATGAATACTTAAAAACGATTATTTCATCAAATTTTATTCGTTTCTTACAGGTAATTAGTATAGGTCGTTACCACGACGGTCCAGTTCACACAATGGATAGAAATGCTTATTCGAAAACTACATTTTTATCGATCGGAGGTAGAATATTTGCAATTTGGCGCCCGGATTTAAAAGATCGTCCGGTTTTATGGAGAAAATCCCGGGTAAGATATCTCCACGGGCACTGGGCGAAAGGAAATCCTTCGATGTTCCGTTTAAGTCGACGTGATGGAAGTCGTGAAGTATGGAGCCTTTTAAAACGGAGCGACAAGAAAATGTACGAACAAAATATGTCAGGCGAAAGAGTTTTGGGCTCTTACGTTCATCATCGCGTTTTGCCAATGGGAGTAATCGGAATTGCCGATAACAACGGAGCTTTCCGAATGTTTTACATCCCACATTTAAATCAACACGAAGAAGCGGGAAAAAAATTGGAGCGGATGTTAGATCGCGAAGTTATCCGTAAAAAAGCCTTTATGGAGTGGCAAACAAATTGGTTAAACACCAATTCCGCCATCGTCGAACAACGCCTGGAATATCGCCGATTAAGAATGGAAATGTTAATGGAGAAAGCGTTAAAAGAACAACAAAAAATAGCAGACGAAAAAGCCGAACAAGAAAGACAACAGAAATTATTAGAAAAAAAGAACAAACCCGAACCGGGTCATTACCAAGAATGGGCGCAAGAACAACTAAGAATTAAAGAAGAAGAACGCATGAAACGAGTTTTATTACTAAAAAAACAACTCGATCCCGAATTATTAGTTTCACAACAAGCCCCATTAAAGAAACTCGCGCAAGAAGAGGAAAAGAAAAAGAAACGCCAAAAAGAACGCCTCGCAGAAGCCGATAAATTATTCGCAGAAGCGGTGGCCACTTTATTTCCAGACGTTATCAAAGTTAAACCACCGCCACCGTTGGATCCGTACGAGGGAGATTATCCCATCACCGATACCATCGAATGTTTTGCACATTTCGCAGCTTTGCACAATCTCGCGGATATGTTCGTTCAGCTACATCCGTTTGTCTATAATTTCGATTGGAAGAGGGTGGTCCAAAGCGGAATCGAAAGACGAAAACAAATCCATAGTCAATTCGTTGCGATTTCGCATCGCGAACGATACGAAGCCGAGAAACGAATGGCAGAAGGACCTAGCGTAATTGAGGTGGGTAGGAGTAAAGTTCTTAGCACTCCGAGCGGTGGAAATATTGTCGAGGAAGAAGACGAGGGGGAAGAGGAGGAAGATAAAGGTTTATTCTAATATTTATATGTATTTGTTGAATTGGGGAAATAAAAAGGATTAAATGTAAATTTGATGTAAGCAAAAAAAAGTTTTTGTATGAAAGTTGTAGCAAATTTTGTTCTTAACAATATTGCTCTCTTATGCTTTTACTCTCAGATGCATAAATATCGAGAAAATTTCGAAAATGAGATGAAATCGTGGATTTTACATCTTGATGGTAGAGGAAGAATGAGAAATTCGGAACGTTTTAGAAAAAAAGTTTTAGTATAAAAGTTGTAGCAAACTTCATTCTTAACAATATTGCTCTTTTACACTTTTGCTCTCAGATGCTTAAATATCGAGAAAAATTAAAAAAAGTGAAAATTTGATAAAATCGTTATTTTGCATCTTGCTGCTTGTGTAGGATGAAATACTGAATTCGGAACGTTTTAGAAAAAAAGTTTTAGTATAAAAGTTGTAGCAAATTTCATTCTTAACAATATTGCTCTTTTACACTTTTGCTCTCAGATGTAAAATTATAGAGAAAAATTTAAAAAAATGAAAATTTGATAAAATCGTTATTTTGCATCTTGTTGCTTGTATAGGATGGAATACGGAATTCGGAACATTTTAGAAAAAAAGTTTTAGTATAAAAATTGTAGCAAATTTCATTCTTAACAATATTGCTCTTTTCCACTTTTGCTCTCAAATGCATAAATATTGAGAAAAATTAGAAAAAGTGAAAATTTGATAAAATCGTTATTTTGCATCTTGCTGCTTGCATAGGATGGAATACGGAATTCGGATCGTTTAAGAAAAAAGTTTTAGTACAAAAGTTGTAGCAAATTTAATTCTTAACGATATTGCTCTTTTACACTTTTGCTCTCAGATGTAAAATTATAGAGAAAATTTCGAAAAGGTGACAATTAGATGAAATCGTGGTTTTACATCTTGTTGGTAAAGGAAGAATAAGAAATTGGGTACGTTTTAGAAAAAAAGTTTTAGTATAAAAGTTGTTGCAAATTTGATTCTTAACAATATTGCTCTTTTACACTTTTGCTCTCAGATGTAAAATTATAGAGAAAATTTCGAAAAAGTGACAATTAGATGAAATCGTGGTTTTACATCTTGTTGGTAGAGGAAGAATGAAAAATTCGGAACGTTTTAGAAAAAAGTTTTAATATAAAAGTTGTATCAAATTTAATTCTTAACGATATTGCTCTTTCACACTTTTGCTCTTAGATGTAAAATAATAGAGAAAATTTCGAAAAGGTGACAATTAGATGAAATCATGGTTTTACATCTTATTGGTAGAGGAAGAATGAGAAATTCAGAACGTTTTAGAAAAAAGTTTTAGTATAAAAGTTGTTATAAATTTGATTCTTAACAATATTGCTCTTTTACACTTTTGCTCTCAGATGCATAAATATCGAGAAAAATTAAAGAAAGTGAAAATTTGATAAAATCGTTATTTTGCATTTTGTTGCTTGTATAGGATGGAATACGGAATTCGGAACGTTTTAGGAAAAAAGTTTTAATATAAAAGTTGTAGCAAATTTGATTCTTAACAATATTGCTCTTTTACACTTTTGCTGTCAGATGTAAAATTATAGAGAAAATTTCGAAAAAGTGACAATTAGGTGAAATCGTGGTTTTACATCTTGTTGATAGAGGAAGAATGAGAAGTTCGGAACGTTTTAGAAAAAAAGTTTTAGTATAAAAGTTGTAGCAAATTTTATTCTTAACAATATTGCTCTTTTACACTTTTGCTCTCAGATGCATAAATATCGAGAAAAATTAAAGAAAGTGAAAATTTGTTAAAATCGTTATTTTGCATCTTGTTGCTTGTATAGGATGGAATACGGAATTCCGAACGTTTTAGAAAAAAAGTTTTAGTATAAAAGTTGTAGCAAATTTCATTCTTAACAATATTGCTCTTTTACACTTTTGCTCTCAGATGTAAAATTATAGAGAAAATGTCGAAAAGGTAACAATTAGATGAAATCGTGGTTTTACATCTTGTTGATACAGGAAGAATGAGAAATTCGGAATGTTTTAGAAAAAAAGTTTTAGTATAAAAGTTGTAGCAAATTTCATTCTTAACAATATTGCTCTTTTACACTTTTGCTCTCAGATGTAAAATTATAGAGAAAATGTCGAAAAGGTAACAATTAGATGAAATCGTGGTTTTACATCTTGTTGATACAGGAAGAATGAGAAATTCGGAATGTTTTAGAAAAAAAGTTTTAGTATAAAAGTTGTTGCAAATTTAATTCTTAACAATATTGCTCTTTTACACTTTTGCTCTCAGATGCTTAAATATCGAGAGAAATTAGAAAAAGTGAAAATTTGTTAAAATCGTTATTTTGCATCTTGTTGCTTGTATAGGATGCAATACGGAATTCCGAACGTTTTAGAAAAAAAGTTTTAGTATAAAAGTTGTTGCAAATTTAATTCTTAACAATATTGCTCTTTTACACTTTTGCTCTCAGATGTAAAATTAAAGAGATAATTTCGAAAAGGTGAAAATTTGATAAAATCGTTATTTTGCATCTTGTTGCTAAAGGAAGAATGAGAAATTCAGAACGTTTTAGAAAAAAAGTTTAGTATAAAAGTTGTTATAAATTTGATTCTTAACAATATTGCTCTTTTACACTTTTGCTCTCAGATGCATAAATATCGAGAAAAATTAAAGAAAGTGAAAATTTGATAAAATCGTTATTTTGCATTTTGTTGCTTGTATAGGATGGAATACGGAATTCGGAACGTTTTAGGAAAAAAGTTTTAATATAAAAGTTGTAGCAAATTTGATTCTTAACTATATTGCTCTTTTATACTTTTGCTCTCAGATGTAAAATTAAAGAGATAATTTCGAAAAGGTGAAAATTTGATAAAATCGTTATTTTGCATCTTGTTGCTAAAGGAAGAATGAGAAATTCAGAACGTTTTAGAAAAAAAGTGTTAGTATAAAAGTTGTAGCAAATATGAATCTTAACGATATTGCTCTTTCACACTTTTGCTCTTAGATGTAAAATTATAGAGAAAATTTCGAAAAGGTGACAATTAGATGAAATCGTGGTTTTACATCTTGTTGGTAGAGGAAAAATGAGAAATTCAGAACGTTTTAGAAAAAAGTTTTAGTATAAACAATATTGCTCTTTTACACTTTTGCTCTCAGATGCATAAATATCGAGAAAAATTAGAAAAAGTGAAAATTTGATAAAATCGTGGTATTACATCCTGTTATTGGTAGAGGAAGGAATTCTGAACGTTTTAGAAAAAAAGTTTTAGCATAAAAGTTGTAGCAGATTTAATTCTTAACAATATTGCTCTTTTACACTTTTACTCTTAGATGCATAGAAATCGAGAAAAAATCGAAAAGGTGACAATTAGATGAAATCGTGGTTTTCCATCTTGTTGGTAGAGGAAGAATGAGAAGTTCGGACCGTTTTAGAAAAAAAGTTTTAATACAAAAGTTGTAGTAAATTTGATTCTTAACAATATTGCTCTTTTACACTTTTGCTCTCAGATGCATAAATATCGAGAAAAATTAGAAAAAGTGAAAATTTGATAAAATCGTTATTTTGCATCTTGCTGCTTGCATAGGATGGAATACGGAATTCGGATCGTTTTAGAAAAAAGTTTTAGTATAAAAGTTGTAGCAAATTTAATTCTTAACGATATTGCTCTTTTACACTTTTGCTCTCAGATGTAAAATTATAGAGAAAATTTCGAAAAGGTGACAATTAGATGAAATCGTGGTTTTACATATTGTTGGTAAAGGAAGAATAAGCAATTGGGTACGTTTTAGAAAAAAAGTTTTAGTATAAAAGTTGTTGCAAATTTGATTCTTAACAATATTGCTCTGTTACACTTTTGCTCTCAGATGTAAAATTATGGAGAAAAATTCGAAATAGTGAAAATTTTATAAAATCGTTTTTTTACATATTGTTGCTTGTACAGGATGGAATACGGAATTCCGAACGTTTTAGAAAAAAAGTTTTAGTATAAAAGTTATAGCAAATCTCATTCTTAACAATATTGCTCTTTTGCACTTTTGCTCTCAGATGCATAAATATCGAAAAAAATTAGAAATAGTGAAAATTTGATAAAATCGTTATTTTGCATCTTGTTGCTTGTATAGGATGGAATACGGAATTCGGAACGTTTTAGAAAAATAGTTTTAGTATAAAAGTTGTAGCAAATTTAATTCTTAACGATATTGCTCTTTTACACTTTTGCACTCAGATGTAAAATTATAGAGAAAATTTCGAAAAGGTGACAATTAGATGTAATCGTAGTTTTACATCTCGTTGGTAGAGGAAGAATGAGAAATTCGGAACGTTTTAGAAAAAAAGTTTTAGTATAAAAGTTGCAGCAAATTTCATTCTTAACGATATTGCTCTTTTACACTTTTGCTCTCAGATGCATAAATATCGAGAAAAATTAAAAAAGTGAAAATTTGATGAAATCGTGGTTTTACATCTTGTTGATAGAGGAAGAATGAGAAATTCTGAACGTTTTAGAAAAAAAGTTTTAGTATAAAAGTTGTAGCAAATTTCATTCTTAACAATATTGCTCTTTTACACTTTTGCTCTCAGATGTAAAATTATAGAGAAAATTTCGAAAAGGTGACAATTAGATGAAATCGTGGTTTTGCATCTTGTTGGTAGAGGATGAATGAGAAATTCGGAACGTTTTAGAAAAAAAGTTTTAGTATAAAAGTTGTAGCAAATTTCATTCTTAACAATATTGCTCTTTTACACTTTTGCTCTCAGATGTAAAATTATAGAGAAAATTTCGAAAAGGTGACAATTAGATGAAATCGTGGTTTTGCATCTTGTTGGTAGAGGATGAATGAGAAATTCGGAACGTTTTAGAAAAAAAGTTTTAGTATAAAAGTTGTAGCAAATTTCATTCTTAACAATATTGCTCTTTTACACTTTTGCTCTCAGATGTAAAATTATAGAGAAAATTTCGAAAAGGTGACAATTAGATGAAATCGTGGTTTTGCATCTTGTTGGTAGAGGATGAATGAGAAATTCGGAACGTTTTAGAAAAAAAGTTTTAGTATAAAAGTTGT